GAGTCCTAACTGGGGCCTTTCTGTGTGTTTTCCCTCCTCCAGTATCTCCACCACTACTCCTCCCTACCAGTGTTTTTTTTTTCAAGACTCCATAATGAGGTTTTATCTGGAATACTAGGCCCTACTGGTAAGACTGCAGCGGGCAGCAGCAGCGCTGAGAACCTCAGAGGCTTTGTAAGAGCAGTGAGAGCTGCCGGAACAGGAGGTGATCGAAGATGGCTCACTGTTCAGTTCGCCAGTGCTCGAGTTTCCAGACGCTACACAGAGATCACCCATAAGGAGAGGAGGCTGAAGGCTTTAGTCAGGGAGGACAGCTCTTTGTGTAATTCATTCTTTCCTAACTTGCCTCTTGGTCTTGTTACGGTAATAAGTGGTCACTGAAATGAAAAGGAGTGGTGGAATTTATGGTGGGGAGAGGAATCACACTTTTCCTTCTTCTGTTAAACACATACCCAAGAGTCTGGCCCATTCTTTTTCCATATTAGTAAAAGTCCCTGTTTCCCAATACCTACCCATACAGTCTGTGTCCATTTTTAGCACATGTATTCCTCAGGCAATGGGAAATCACTGCAACCTGGATAAAGATGGGAAGTCCTGATTTTTAAATGTTATTTGCTTTCTGGGAAGGACTTGAGCTTTTCCTATGATAATACAGCAATTCTCTTAAAGTCCATCTAGAGATTCAGTTACTATGAATGTGTCATTGACTGCAAAATTCACACTAAATGCTTGTATTCGTGTTTTAGGCGCAAGAAGCCATGAACTGACTAGTCTCAATAATGAAAGAACATTTTCATGTGTGTTGGTGATGTGTCTTCAAAGCCACGCCAGAAGAAGTCTTCTGAAGCCTCCTACAGAACTCCAGCTTTGTTGAATATCACAGACCTCAGAAACACCATACACTGGCCTTGATCAAAGATTTCCTTATGATTCCAAAGACATCTAGGATTCAACAAACTATATATTACGGATCTTGCCATATTTAATATAATAGCAGAGAAAGACTTCCTTTTCTCATTGCTGTATGAATTTTTTTATAATGGTAATTTTTTTGTATATTTCTTGTACACTGATAAACTAATTCATGCAAGTATTTGTCTAGGGTGACTAAGGAAGACTATATCTAGATCACGCTTTTTTATTGTCTGAATGTTTCTTAAGATTTTATAAACAAAACATGCTGCTATTGATTAGCTGCAAGAATGCACTTTAGACATATTTGACATTTCAAACTTTTAAAATAAAGATGTAAGTGACTGGCCAATACTAAAACCATTTAGGATGTTGTTTTGAATTTTTTATGTATACACTTTCTGATATTTAGATATGCCAAAAAATTGGAATAAAAAGCACTAAGAGATACAAAGTTATGCGACAGTCATTTAACACATTCTTCCAGCACCTAGCATCATACCTTGCATTTAGTTGGCATTTGTGGGGTGATTACAGGATTCTCTCATGCTGGGGCTACTTGTTTCAGTAGGTTAAGGAACAATTTAAAAAGGGGTTGTCTCCCCTGCTGAGAACAAAGAATCTTCCCAACCAGCCATAAGCAATCATGGATGTGCTGCAGACAATCCTTCATACACAGCCTGATTAACCTGGAATCTTCCCTGTTTTTTTTTTAACCCTATTTGATTGGCTTACGGTTTTGAAAGCAGCATTCATAAATGCCTGGCAAGTTTTAATTCTTGGTATCACATCTAACTTGTATCCTTATGTAAAAGTAGAGCAGCACAGAGTACTATGGATGGCAGTGTCAGCTGTTTCTTTTCCTTTCCCCTTTTATTTACTAACTTGTATCCTTATGTAAAAGTAGAGCAGCACAGAGTACTATGGATGGCAGTGTCAGCTGTTTCTTTTCCTTTCCCCTTTTATTTGTAACTAGTTGGACATTCATAACAAACAGAAGTGCCTCTGCACGTTAGACTAGAACATAAGAGAGATTTTTATTCACATGTGCCCTGGAAAGTAGGTGCCTATGAATTCAGAGCAGGCTGCAGACCTAAGGGTGTCAGGGAGCCTGCCTCACCCTCACCCTCACTTGCTGTGTGGTAGGGAGTGAAACAGCAAGTGCAAAACAGAGTGGACCCACAAGGGAGGGAATTTGTGGAGGGCCAGCCAGCCTGATGGGGGAAGCAGGTGCGCAGCTGGACTGGGGGAGAGAGGAGTCTGGAGGCAGAGGAAAGAAGGCACCAAGGAGTCAGTGCCCCACCCTAGGGCAATACTGCAATGGGCTGGGTAACTGGGCTTTCACCAAAGTGGAGGAGAAAAGGGAAAGTGGAGAGTGACTGACCACTGTGTGGGCTGCAGCTGGGAGGACCCATTTCTCTCCAGCACAGATTTCTGAGGAGGGACCTCCAGGATGAGGCAGGCAGACAAGGATAACAAAGGGCACTCTAGCAGGAGGTCTGTACGCGGACCTCTGGTTACCCCCGCTCCAGGATACCCCTGCCCAGGTGCAATCACACACTACCACCCACTCTGCTGGCAGCTTTTTGGAGCTCGCCAGTACAGCTCCTTAGCCAGACCAGCAGAACAAGCCAAAAACTTGAGCTATTGCACCACCTTCTGGAAAACAAGGAAGGTTTCTAATTGCTAGGCTAGAAAGGTGCCTGCTATTTCAAATGTGATGGCAGGGGCACATTTTGTCAAACACTAAGATGCGTCATGGCAATGTGGCATCACAAAAAGAAAAATAATTCTATAGCAACTGAACCCAAAGGCACAGAATATTGGGATCTAACTTACAAAGAATTCAAAATAGCTGTTATGAAGAGATACAACAAGCTACCAGAAGACTGACAATGCAATGAATTTAGGAATAAAATTGAACAGAAGGCATTCTTTACAAAGACAGAAAAGGCATCCAAACTGGGAAGAGGTGAAACTGTTGCTACTTGTAGATGATATGATTCTCTCTATAGAAAATCTCAGACTCAACCAAAAAACTGTTAGAATTAATTAAGTAAATTTGCAAGATATAAAATCAACAGAAATCAGTCGCACTTCTGAAAAAGAGAAAAAGGAAAACTTCCATTCACAAGAGCATCAAAAACAGAAACAGTGTGGTACCAGCACAAAAAGAGACACATAGACCAATGGAACAGAATAGTGAATCCAGAATGAACTTCTGTTTATATGGTCAACCAATTTCCATAAGAGAGCCAAGAGGACCAATGGGGAAAGGGTAGTCTTCAACAAATGATGTTGGGAAAACTGGAAAAACACATGCACAGCAATGAAACTGGACCCCTATAAAATATACTACTACTCACAAAAATAAACTCAAAATGTATTAGACTTAAACATAAGACCTGATATTATAAAACTACTAGAAGAAAACATAGGGAGGAAGCTCCTCAGCATTGGTCTTAGAAATTATTTTTCAGATATAATACCAAAAAGCACAATGACAAAAGCAAAAAAAAGCAACCAGTGGGACTACATCAAACTTAAAAATTTTTGTATAACAAAAGAAACAATGGAATGAAAAAGTAACCTTCATAATGAGAGAAAAATTGTGGGAACCATATATTCAATAAGAGGTTAATATCCAAAATATATAAAGAACTCATACAATTCAATAACAAAAACCCTCAAACAATCTGATTTAAAAATGGGCAGAAGTAGACATTTTTCCAAAGAAGACATCCAAATGGCCACCAGGCACATGAAGAGATGCTCCACAGCACTAATCATCAGGGAAATGCAAATTAAAGCCACATGAGGTATCAGCTCACAAATGTCAGAATGGCTATCATCAAGACAAGAGTTAGTAAGTATTGGTTGACATGGAGAAAAGGGGACCCTTGTGCACTGTTGTAGGAATGTAAACTGGTTGTGAGCACTACGAAAAACATTAAGGAGGCTCCTCAAAAAATTAAAAATGCAACTCCATATGATCCAGCAATTCCACTTCTGGGTATTGATCCAAAGAAAACGAAAACACTAATTTGAACAGACTTAAGTATACACACACCCCTGCACCCATTTTCACTGTAGCATTATTTACAATAGCCAAGACATGGAAACAACCTAAGTATCCATCAATGGATGAATGAATAAAGAAAATACAGTGTGTATATGTTGAACATATACATACACACACACACAATAAAATATTCAGCCATAAAAATGAATAGTCTAGCCATATGAGACACGGATGAACCTTGAGGGCATTACAAATCAGAGAAAGGCAAATACCACATGGTGTCATTTACATGCGGAATCCAAAAACAAACAAAACCAAGCTCACAGATACAGACAACAGATTGGTGGCTGCCAGAGGGAAAGTGGTGGGGGAGGGGGGGACCATAATATGGTCAAAGGTATAAACTTCCAGGTATAAAATAAGTAAGTCATGGGGAAATGGGTAGTATGGTGACTACAGACTATTATTGCATATTTAAAAGTTGCTAAGAGAGTAGACCTTAAAAAATCCTCCTCAGAGAAAAAAAAAAATTCTGACTGTATGGTGAGGGATGGGTGATTATTTCGCAATATGTATAAATACTGAATCATGTTGTACACCCGAAACTAATAAATGTTTTATGACAATCATACCTCAAAAAAATTTTAATGACTCTCAGTATGAACCCAACACCAGTTTTATTAGCTTTAACCGACACAAAATGGCAATGCAGCACCTAGCCAGACAGCATTTGCAAGAGCTCTTGTAACATTTCAAGTGCAGTTTTAAGGCATTTCCACCCAATGACGGGGTGCCTTAGTTAGAAAAAATGAAGGCGAAGAGGAAAGTTCCCTTACATTACTAATCTATCTTTTACACCTTGAAAAAAAAAAAAAAAGAGGACAAAATTTACCCATAATCCCCAAATCCATCCCTCTGCCCACACACAAGCAGGAGGAGCTGAATTTAGGCTTCCAGATTCCAAACCCAGGCTCCATCGCCCAATTTAGTTAATTTTAGGCTCATTGCCTGATCAGCATCTTAGTTTTACCATCTGCAAAATGGAAGTTAATAGTACCTCACTTACCTCATACGCTGTGAGGATTAAATGAATCCCTGTAGAGTGTCTCAGTGCCTGGGACGCGTAAGCGTCAAATGCTGCTGCTGTCGTGAACGCTGCGAGTCTCTCACTTCCTCCTACATTCACTTGTTTTATCCGAGACTGAACTAAGCGTGGGGGCCTCCAGCTCCAAGTCAGCTGCAGACCTACACGTGGTCGACGCGTATGGGGGCGGGGCTGGCGACACCATTAAAAGATGGTTTCATTCGTGTCACATAAGATACACTACATGGGGTGTCATCCACTTACCTAGGTAACTTTTTTCTAAAAATATCTGTACAGTTCACCAGTCCTGCGTTTTATAACCAGGATAGTTCGCGTTTCTACCGGCCAACAACTTTTTGAACAAGCGAGTCGCGCGTAGTGCGCAGGCGCCTCCAATGGGTCTTCGTGGGCTGTCCTTGCTCCGCCTCTTCCGCTAGGCGCTGCCGCCGATTGGTCCGCGTGGCCCTATAAGAAGCTGTGCGCAGGCGTACTACCCTCTCTCCTCAGTTGCCGTAAAGGTGCTCGGTCCTTCCGAGAAGCTAAGGCCGCGTTGGGGTGAGGCCCTCACTTCATCCGGCGACTAGCACCGCGCTCGGCAGCGCCCGCCAGCACTCGCCCACACCATGGCCTCGGTCTCTGAGCTCGCCTGCATCTACTCGGCCCTCATCCTGCACGACGATGAAGTGACAGTCACGGTGAGTGGGGGCCTGGGCGGGGGGCAGCCTGCGGGCGGCCGTGAGCCCCGCTCCCTTCCCAGTCGTCCCTTCCCCCCGGGCCCGCGGCCATCAACACCCCCGCGTGGCGGTTCGGGAGCCAGCGGGTGGGCCCGGGATCTCAGCCACGTGCTGCCCCGGGAGGGACCGGATTACACTGCGGCTGCGCGTGGGTATCCGCACCTACTTATATTCCAGGACATTTTGTATCTCCTTTTGGAATGATTGTCTTGAATTTGGACCTCCTGGTAGGCCCTTGGGGCCACGCTGCGACGTGTGGAGTACGTAAGCCCTGCTCCTCCTCGCGACTTGACTTGTAACTTAAAATAGCTGCGTACCTTGGGTGAGTCCCAGCCTGTGAAATGACAGCGGTGAATTCGCCTTCCAGGGTGCCTGGCACACAGGAGCAAATGAGTTTCTTTTGCTTGTGCTAACCGTAAGGAGGGTTCAGAAATGGTCTTCATACGTGAAATAAAGATAGAATATTTAATAAACTGGATAAACATGGTTTTGTACACACATTTTGAGTGGTTTGCAGTGTTTTGGAGACGTGAAAGCCACACTTTGTTCTCTGATGGATTGCCATATTATTTGTTTCAGGAGGATAAGATCAATGCCCTCATTAAAGCAGCGGGTGTAAATGTTGAACCTTTCTGGCCAGGCTTGTTTGCAAAGGTAAGGTGATGGCGGCAAAGTTATTTTGAGAAGCAAAATTGGGACAATTTACTGATTAAAGTTGAGTGTTCATGCTAACCTCCAGAAGTGCTAGGAGGCTCCATATTCTACTGGACCTCTTCTCAGTTCAGGTATTATAACCTCACATTGCTAAGTGTAGGAGATAATTAAGATTTCAGTTTGTTGTGACTTTTCTTGATCTCAGACTCTGGTTTCTTTTTCCTTCTGTTCTGAAATCATGGTGAAAAAAATTGCGAAGGTCATTCCCTACCAAAAGCGTCACACAGGAGCGAACTTTTCCTCATGGTAGTCTGGTTTAAAGGAAATTGGGTGTAGTTGCCATTTGTTGACCACTTACTGTGTTGGAATGAAAAAAGCTAATGAAGGCAGGGTTTCTACCCCAAAATTTGGGATTAACTATCTTCCACTGCACATGTTGCTTCATCTCTGGCAAGTGAAGCTAATAATAGTCTCTAACTCTTTAGGTTTTGTCCTTGAAATAGCTTTGAGAGATCCAAAATATTGTTATCTATATATCTTTAATAAACTTTGGAAAAGTTCTAGAATTACCTAGCAGTCTGAAAAACTGAATTCACTGTTAAGAGACATGGAACTGTGGAAAGACTCCTGTTTTGTGTTTGAGAAAGCGTGAATTTTCTACGAACAAGTTAAGCCAGCATTTTGGGGCCAGTTTTATCACCTATAGAAAGGAGGAGTTCAGTCAGTTGTACCTTAGTATTTAAATACAGCAATGCATGTATTTAAAGCTTGAGTGGGTTTTTTTTTTGGTGACTGATTTTTCATGTATTTGTGTGGGTTGTACTATCTAATTTTAAGTCTTAGAGAATCTAAGTAGCAGGCAAAATATTACTGGCAGATTCTAGCACTGGGAGACGGAAGAGAAATACAGTGTTGGTTTGAAAAGGGAGGTACCGTTGGTGGTGGGTGTGTGCTGTATGTAACAAAGACACAATTGGGCATTTACCTGTGTGTGCACTTGGGTTGCAGGCCCTGGCCAATGTCAACATCGGGAGCCTCATCTGCAATGTCGGGGCCGGTGGGCCTGCCCCAGCAGCTGGTGCTGCCCCGGCAGGAGGTCCTGCCCCCTCCACCACTGCTGCCCCAGGTAGGAACATATTTTTTTTTTTTTATTTTTTAATGGTAGGGAGGAGTGTGGACGTTAAACATTATTAAAGACAAGACTCTTAATTACTAAGAGTAGGTGATGAATAGAAATCCTAAAACCAGAGGCATAGTTTGATGATGAAGGAAGTTAAGAGTTTTTTGACCATGTAAGTTGGAGGGCCTGGAACTCTTTGGAGTTGAAAATACTGAGAAGTGTGTAATTGCCCTTTTTTTTTTTTTTTAAGCTGAGGAGAAGAAAGTGGAAGCAAAGAAAGAAGAATCTGAGGAGTCTGATGATGACATGGGTTTTGGTCTTTTTGACTAAACCTCTTTTGTAACGGCCAATAAAAAGCTGAAGTCCTTGCTGGTGCTGGTTTTGCTGATAGTTTGGGGGTGTGCTGTGTACATGATGAAAAAGATGATCTCATCTCTGCAACACTGGCTTTTAAACCTTTTCTTACACCATGACACCGACTGGGTTTTCTCCCTGTGCCACCGTCTCATGGTGGGAAGTATTCCATAAACTGGACACTACCGAGAGTGCATCTAATACCGCAGCACTGAGAACGGCATGGAGAGGTGGGGAGAGAAAGGGTCCCAGCAGATGCCTCATCCAGTCTACCTGTGGGGGTTCACGACTACAGGGTTTGTCCCGTCAACGCAAGTCACTGGTGGAGTGGGAGCATCCAGACCTCCCGTTTGTAGAGGGCCCCCTAGAGGGCCCCCGGGTAATTGACAAGTATAGTCCTGGCCAGAAGTTTCTGAAATGTGATGAGCCACCTGAGGTAGAATTAACTCCACTACCCCTGGGTTTAAGGTCAGTTGTACTGAAGGAGTGAAAAAAGTTTAGGTTAAAGTCCCCAGTTAAAGTGGGTAAAACCAGAATTCAAACCTGTGTTTGAAAAAAGGGAATAGCTTTTCTTTTCCTCATTGGTTGAGGGGGAGGGGAGGGCTGGCTGAACAATGGTGTAAAGTGGAAATTGGCTTGATTTTCAGAATGCCAGGCACCCCTAGGATTTCGATTTATAAATTATGTGTACCTATTCTGTGCCAGGCACTTGGAACATCTTGCCCTTTTTCTCTGTTCTCCAATTCATAGATGTAAAGCAGGACTTGTAGCCCCAACTGCCTTCACTCCAGTGTACAGGACCATTTGTGTAAGTTACCACCACTTGGGCAAATGGCTGGTGTTCCTTGCAAAAGTGAACACCATGTAACCCAGCAATTCTATTTCCAGGTATTATCTAAGAGAAACTACATAGGCACATCAAGATAGACCTCCGAATATTCAAAGTGGGACTTAAAAATAGCAAAGATCTCAGTAATCTGTCAACCAGAAAATAAAATGATCCCAAGTTATCAGGAATGAAAATACACTACAGGTAATAGAGGAATTCTTAAAGCAGATGGTTAGATGAAAAGTAAGTCTTAGCAGGTTATAGAAAGCCTATCACCCTTAACAAACACTCAAGAGGCATTAGGCATACATATAAAAAAGAGATGGTAAACAATTTAGGCTCTGTAAGGAGAGGAGGAATAAGGAGCAACTTCAGATTTTGGAGTTTTCATGTTAACACAAAAGGGCCACTGGACCAACAAGGGATGTATCATAAAGGGGATTAATCTCGCCCACAACATGAAGTGCCTACTTGGCCTCCCTTAATCAGCTAACATTTAGCTGAGGGCCGGTGCTGGGCTGCTGTCAAGTGTTTCATATTCTGCACAACAGTCCCATGTCACAGATGGGTAAATGGAAGCTCAGAGGTTAACATTGCCTGAGGTTACAAACCAGTGAACAGGTGGCTCTGACTCCAAAGCTGTTGCTTAACAGCATCTCTCCCCCATGCAGCTACTTTTTTCCCTCCTGTACCAGTTCCTCAAATGATAAGTTAGCTACCTCCCAGGGTTTTGGGAAGTTCTGAGATTGGAGGAATTCCTTACATTTGGTGAGTACCCAAGTGTCAGAACAAGGGAAGACCAACACTTCACTTAGCCAAGGAAATACTTGAATGGGTTAAAAAGAACACTAACAAAAGGAAAAAGGAATGCACAGCATCTAGAACAGCTGAAAATTAAGGGTAAAAGGATATAAATCCAGATACCAAACCAAACAATAAAACTGCAAATGTTCATGACTGCAAGACTCAAGGGTTTCACATGGCCTAGTAGGTGGCCCAGCTTTTGAAAAGAAATCATCTAATATAGTAAAAATCGAAGAGTTACAAACTTTCCCAAAGAATGATTTAATAATCAAATTAGGAGACCCACAGGCCACATGTATAAAAGCTAACCTTTTACTCACTTGATACGGAATAAGAAAGTCAGTGCTGCTTCACCCCCAGTTCTGAGTCTTGATTTCCTACTGGGGAATGAGTAGAGTAAGTGAACATGCCCGTCAGTGCATGTGGGCACAGACAGTCTTCCTTTTACACAAGGAACACAGCTGCCATCCCTGGCTCCCAGAGCCCCCAGGTTCAGCAGGTCTAAGCCTTGGTGCTCCTTAAACCCCCTCCTGGCCAATCCTTCCCAAGCAGGAGGCAGCTCTCTTTCCCAGAGCTCATTTCACACATACTGGATTGTTCCCCAAGCACGGTTGTTACAAGGTTGTTACAAGTTCCGTTCCCAGCCCTCCTGTGGCCACTGCAAGCATATGGGGGCCACAGCTGGCTCACTCACCCTGCTAATGATCCTGCAGCAGCGGGAAGCCAGGATTAGGTGTAAGGGCTCAAAGCCTCTCACGTTCCAGAGGATTTTAGGAACATAGTCACTGACAAGCCATCAAAGAATAACAGTTAAATAAAAAAAAAATTCATACTGTCACTGCGTTGCACAATGGGATGAGTAAAAAAAAAAAAAAATCCAAAATATGTCAACTATTTTACTCTTTATTTTTTGCTTCTTTCAACAAAAAATTTTAACGAGAGAACCACATATGAAATTGAAAAACTGCCTTTTGGAAAAGATAAACACTAAAATGAAAGCATTTAAAATATGCTACAAAACAACTTGGTATATTGCCACACATTTCAATAAAATGTGTCAAGTCCTTTCCTATAATTTGAAAGAGCATATACAGTAAAGTTCTGAGGGAAACAGTGTGAGCCAGATGATTATTGATTTGGTTGGGTAGCATTTTATAATTTTGAAGTAATGTTGACATGTTCTCCCATTCTGAACTTAATTTAACCCTGCTTATAGACCAAGAAACCCTTGCTTAGAGAGTGCCTCGCCAAGTTCACACAGCTGGTACAGGGCAAAGGCTGGGCCTGCCCCTCAGTTGTCTCAGTCCAGTATTTCTTCTACCAGGACAGTGTCCCCTCCACACACGTGCTTTTGTAAAGTATAGTGATCAGCCGGTGATTTTCTTTCTCTGTCACTTTACAAGCCACTTCTCCCTTATCTCTTTATCTTGGCAAACAAGCCTGGATAACAAACTTGGATAGACAAGGTCTATTTTCAAGAGCACTGATATTTTCAGCTCCGAAACAGCCAGATGTGCCTCAAAATCAGATCACAGACACCACACAGCATGCAACATGGGACCAGGCCTGTTTGGGTCGATTCAACAATCTTTTGGCATATTTATGTTCACAGGGTCAGGGGCCTTTACATATTTTCACATATTTCAATTTTCTTGCTGAAGTGTCCACTCCACTGACTTGTAAACCTCAAGTTATTAAGATATTAAATCTAAATAATAAACATGTTTTTCAGCTTCCAGATCTTTGCTTCTTTCAACAAAATTTTTACTTGCTATCCACCCCTCTCTCTGGGCCAGTGACTACCTACCCTAGTGGATTCTACACCTTCTGGCCTTAGAAAGACACTCCAGCCTATATTAAACCCTCTGCTCTACTATCCTGTAATACTGCTTCTTAAAAGTAGATGTGTAATTATGCACTCGTGACAGTTCAACATCTTCCTCCCTCTCCACACAGTAGGTTTGGGGTTCAGGACTGTCTGTATTGCTCCCCCTGTATTCCCAGTACTTATCACAGTACCTGGCTCATTGATGGTGTTCAATATACATTAATTAGAGTCCAACTCTCTCCTTTTACACGTGAGTAAATCAGGACCCAGACAAGAGGAGGAACTTGCTCAGCAACAGCAATTATCAGAGTCAGAACTGGAACCCAGGTGTGGACCAACAAATGGTCCTTCCACTGTAGCAGGCTGTGCAGCGGCAGAAAACCAGGCTCGCCCCTCACCACAAACCTCATCCATTCATGCATTCGTTCAGTTCATACGTACTACGCACCTTCCAGGTTGCCAGGTACAGGGGTGGGTGTGCAGGTCCTAGGGTGGGAACCCACAGATCCAGATGAGGAAGGAGAGCCGAGACACGGGTACCAGGTCTGACCTGACACATTCATTAATCCTAACCCGCTGTACCCAGTCAGTGAACGTAAGACGACGGCGTACAGGGATTCTCCCAAACCAGGCTGTATTGATAAACCGAGAATTCCCAGCAGGTGCAGCCGCAGAAAACGGCGTGGCTCCTTGGAGCCCGCACACTTCCTTCTGTACACGGTGACATGTCACCTACTGCCTCACGTCCATGTTGTCTAGGACAGGGAGAAGATGCAGGAAAGCATGGACACTGAGGTCAAACGGCAGGAAAAGTTGTCCTCAGCTCGCCTCGGCCTCACGATTCCGGAGTACCAGGCTCCGCTCCGCATCAGCTCTGGACCCTAAGACTCCGGCGCCCGCGCTCCAGTTCTTATTGACCGCTACCCGCCAATCCACTTCCGCGCTGGGAAGAAGGGGCGGGACGAAAGGCGGGGCTAGAAGCCGAGCGCGGCTGAGGGAAGTTGCATTGAGGCCCACTGACTGCTAGGGGCGCATGCGGGACATCCGAGGCTTTTGCGCATGCTCATTAGCCTCAGTCCCGCCAGCAATAGATTTTAAATCTCTTTTCACCGCAGCGTCACGGTGTCGGGAGCTGGCTGGTGTGTTAAGGCAGCTAATCTGTTGTGAAACCTCCATGTTGCAAGGTTTCAGCACTTTAATTAACCAGCAGGAATGGAATAGGCATATTTGTAAATTGGGAATAATGACCCATTCCTGCTAGGGGTGCTTTTTTGAGGGTGGGGCGTGGCAATAGATTTTGGCGTTTGTACAGGACTAGTTAAGATCACGTCAATTAGTCCCCAGTTCTTATACTTCGGAAAGTGGATCCTGAAAGCATTTCCAGAAAGCGTTTTTGCTTAAAGAAAGAAGTGAAAAGATTTGCTCCACTTTTGGCTGCTTATAATCCAGTGGAATCACTTGGGAGCCTGTTTAAAAAAAAAAAAGCAAAACAAAAAACTCGCTGGAACAGCAAACAACTAAACAGCTTACTGGCTCCTACAGGCCACCCAACCGG